ATTTTCTGCTCTGGTCATAATCAGAAGTCAACTAGAGCCAAGAGTTGGTCTCTCTAAGGTTACCCTTTGAATGCCAGACAACTGTGAGGTAATGACCAGCATGACTAAAACTGATGGTTCTGTCACTGCAGGTGGAAACACTTTGATTGCTAGGAACTTTGTGTTTATATTGTTGCACCCATGCACATTTGGACCCTTTGACATTTCATCAGGCGGCTGAACGTCTCGTTTCAGACCTGATGTGTTTTGAGCTGCTTGACCTCAAGAGTTCTTTTGGTTACACAGAAGTCAGTCAAACCCCTTCTTACTTTCCTCAACTCTCTGTCAATCCCAGTGCCTTATTGTGTGGTTTTGCATTAGATTATTATTGTGCACTTCAGATAAAGTGACCACATAATCTGTTGCAGTGTCACTTTTTATTTTTAGAAAATCTTCTATCAACACATAAAAAGGGTTTGAATGGCATAAATAATATGTATTCCTCATATTTAACTCCCTTTCAATGTAATTAAAACGTAAATTATTGTTCTGTAAGGAAGGCATAGGTACTCCACATCCTTGAAGAAAAACCCTTCTTTGCCATAGGGGGTTGCTTTCATCCAGGCCTCAAGTTACTGTATCAATAAGCAGAAGGGCTGAGGACAAGTTGGCAAGAGACTGCTGCCTTATAGAAACAAAACGGAGAGATGAGTAGTTTCATTCATCATCTCGCCACCCATAATTCCCTGTGTATATGCCCCCCCCCCATGCTGTGTGCCTACCCATGCACCATGGCCACGTCATCATTAACTATGTCAAAGCGCTCATCCAAATCACACTCATGCTAATGTATGCTACAACACTGAAGCAAATACCAATATACTCAGGCCACCGGTTTCTATAATAAACTAATCACACTGTGTCAACATTGGCTGAGTATAGGTTTTCCACAAGCCTCAAAAAGTTTCATGGACTAGACACATGCTGAACTAAGTTGCTGTACGTCTACAGAATACATTCCCTTTGGGTTGAGATGATTGGCATGTATAGAAACATACTCATTATTTTCTGTAAATAATCTTTCGCCCGTGTAGTAATTCCATTGTTTGTTTTTTTTTGCCAACCTGATCTCGATTTTCTACGGTTTGACTAAAGGACTTTTTTGTAATACACAGGAACTAGAGACATGCTATGAAGCATGTCTTTTTCTTTGAAGAGACAAGTTCTGATGTTTGTTTTTGTTTTTCGGGTAGAATACAATTTTAGGGCAAAGCATAAGTAGCGCAGCAGAGTTTAGTTAGAATATTTTTCAGTTCAAACTCTGGCATTTTGCATAGATTCCACAGCGTCTCAAAGTTTGAGGAGTTAACCTTGTTAAAGACCTAACTCATCATTTGCAGTTCTATGTGCCTGGCATGTAATATGAGTTTTGGTTTATTACTGAAAACCACAGGAGCTCAGACTTCTTGACTTTATTCTGGACAATTGAATTTGAAAAAACATAGCGCCCCTCTACCTCTCCCACCAGTTCGCCAAACTTAAATAAAACTCTATCCATGGAAATCCTACCAAGGTCACACAAAACACAAGAATCTTTCATTAAATTAAGACTGTGTTTGTGCTTTGTTGCAGGGATTGATCAGATTAGGTGGAATAATAGGGGTGTGACAAGTGCTTTGTAACTGCATAGTTTGTGAGTCTTTTTATTGGGAGTACAAAAACTGATTGAAAGAAGACAGTCTGTGATCTCAGATTACTCAAAGCTACCTACAGACCAAGACATGATGAAACTGTTCTTATAGCAACCATACAGTGCTTAGATCAAGACTGGTTTAGATTACTTTGCTTTGATCCATTTTTGGTGTATTCATTTCCCCATTTATATTGGGTTCCAAATATAATTGTTTCTTATATAACCCAAATTGACTCAAGGTACAGAAACTTGACTAATCTAGATAGCTCATATGTTTTTTAAAGCTTTGTTTTTGCTAAAGCGATTCCCAGATTACCGTTGATTTAATTTAATGTTTACTATTAGAGGAGTATGTAACTAATGGGGTTTAGATAATGCAAGTCATTCCTTAGGCTCTATGGTGCTGTTTTTTTTTTCTGCCTCACTGTTACATGCTATGATGGATAAGGCATTTATAGACATAAAGAAAAAAAATGTCCTATTGTTAATGTCAAATTAATAAACAATTAAATTGTTTTAGACAAACATTCATGGCAGACTTGAGTTAGTTAGGGCAGGGCAATGCATTCAGTATCTAAAGACATCTTGTTATAATCAATAGGCAACTTTCACTTAACAAGGTTAATTCATATTGCAAAGTCAAAATCTTTACCCTACCTCTCCATGTTTGTAATTTTCACATCGTGTAGTTATTAGGTCCAATGTTTGTGAAAAAACTGCATTTCCTCTTTTTAACGTGCTCGCTATTAGCACAGAAATATTTTAGATTGATTGGCACAATGGCGTGTTGGTTAGCACCGTCACATCACAAAAGGTGGGTTCTGTGTACAGTTTGCATGATCTCCCTGTGTCTGCATTCGTTCCTTTCAGGTACTCCGTCTTCCTCCCACCGTCCAAATATATGCATGTTAGATGAATTAAAGATTCTAGAACTGAATGTGAGTGTGTATGGTTATTTGCCCATGTGTGGCCCTATGATGGACCCGTAACGGGTACAGAGTTGCACCCTGCCACTTGCCCGTGGTTGGCTGGGATAGGCTCTAGCCCCCGGCGACCCTACTAGGATTAATTAGTATTTATATTGGATTACTTTTTTGCATGCAACCAGATCTAGCTTCATTGCAGCGTCTGTGTTATGTGATGCATATTGAATGGTGGAATGTAAAAGTAGCTATGGTAAAAAGATATCTAGTTTGTCTTCACCTGTTTGTATTAAGCTTGTAATAAAAGATCAAATGCTCCCACCTTACCCTGCTGCTGCTGTTTTCCTTACAGAGGTCGTGAATAGACATACACATATACATGACATACCAGCTGCATACATGTTATTACATTATCTTACAGTCCTAGCCTTAGCTTTATCCTTGTATGTCCCACTGGCTTCCAAATATATGATATGTCTGAAGCATACATAGATTCAAATAGTCTTCTCCTCCTTAATTCATGCATCAGAAAAGAAATCAGAACTTTCTAAGCAGAGGGACCTCTCCTGGCTGAACCACACATCTGATAAAGTGTCAATCAACTATAAGTATTGACATTGCAGTCATC